CCAGAACTTCCAACACTGCATTGAGTAGGAGTGATGAGAGAGGGCATCCTTGTCTTGTGCCTGTTTTCATGGGGAATGCTTCAAGCTTTCGCCCATTCAGTATGATATTGGTTTGTCATATATGGCTCTGATTATCTTGAGGTATATTCCTTCAATATCTAGTTTATTGAAAGTTTTTAATATGAAAAGATGTTGAATTGTATTGAAAGCCTTTTTTGCATTTATTGAGATAATCATATGGTTTTTGTCTTAAGTTCTGTTTATGCAATGAATCACATTTATTGGTTTGCATATGTTGAACCAAACTTGCATCCCAGGGATGAAGGCAACTTGCTTGTGGTGGATAAGCTTTTTGATGTGCTGCTGGATTTGGTTTGCCAGTGTTTTGTTGTTGATTTTTGTATCGATGCTCATGAAGGATATTGGCCTGAAGTTTTCTTTTTTTGCTGTATCTCTGCCAGGTTTTGGTATCAGGATGATACTGGCCTCATACAATGAGTTAGGGAGGAGTCTCTCCTTTTCAATTGTTTGGAATAATTTCAGTAGAAATGCTACCTGTTGTTCTTTATACCTCTGATAGAATTCAGCTCTGAATTCATCTGGTCCTGGGAGTTTTTTGGTTGGTAGGCTGTTTATTACTGCCTCAATTTCAGAACTCATTATTGGTCTGTTCAGGGATTTAATTTCTTCCTGGTTCTGTCTTGGGAGGGTGTATGTGTCCAGGAATTCATCCATTTCTTCTAGATTTTCTAGTTTATCTGCATAGAGGTATTTATAGTATTCTCTGCTGGTTATTTGTATTTCTGTGGGATTAGTGGTGATATCCCTCATATATATATATATATATATGTCTCTATCTCCCTCAGTTCAGCTCTGATCTTGGCTATTTCTTGTCTTCTACTAGCTTTAGCGTTTGTTGCTCTTGGTTCTTTAGCTATTTAGTTGAGATGTTAGGTTGTTAACTTGAGATCTTTCTGGCTTTTTGATATGGGCATTTAATAGTATAAATTTTCCTCTTAACACTGCTTTAGCTGCATTTCAGAGATTCTGATACATTGTCCCTTTGTTCTCATTAGTTTCAAAGAACATCTTGATTTCTGCCTTAATTTCATTATTTACCCAAGTCATTGAGGGACAGGTTGTTTACTTTCCATGTAGTTGTGTGATTTTGAGTGAATTTCTTAATCTTGAGTTATATTCTGATTGCACTGTGGTCTGAGAGACTGTTTGTTGTAATTTTAGTTCTCTTTCATTTGCTGAGGAGTATTTTACTTCTGATTTTGTGATCAATTATAGAGTAAATGCCATGTGGTGATGAGTAGAATGCATATTTTGTTGTTTTAGGGTGGAGAGTTCTGTAGATATATATCAGGTTCTCTTGATCCAGAGCTGAGTTCAGGTCCTGAATATCTTTGTCAGTTTTCTGTGTTGTTGATCTGCCTAATATTGTCAGTGGGGTGTTAATGTCTCTCAGTATTATTGTGTGGGGGTCCAAGTTGCTTTGAAAATCTTAAGAACTTGCTGTATAAATCTGGATGCTCTTTTAGTGGGTGCATATATATTTAGGATAGTTAGCTCTTCTTGTTGAACTGAACTCTTTGCCATTATGTAATGCTCTTCTTTGTCTTTTTTTATCTTTGTTGGTTTAAAGTCTGTTTTGTCAGAAACTAGAATTGCAACCCCTGTTTTGTTTTTTTCTGTTTTCTATTTGCTTGGTAAATTTTCCTCCATCTTTTTATTTTGAACCTATGTGTGTCTTTGCATATGAGATGAGTCTCTTGAAGACAGCATACTGGTGGATCTTGGCTTTGTATCCAGCTTGACATTCTGTGTCTTTTTAACTGGGTCGTTTGACCCATTTACATTTAAAGTTATTATTATTATGTGTTAATTTAATCCTGTCATCATTATGCTAGCTGGTTATTTTGCAGATTTGTTTATGTGGTTGCTTCATAGTGTCACTAGTCTGTGTACTTCAGTATGTTTTTGTAGTGGCTGGTATCGGTTTCTCCTTTCCATATTTAGTCCTTTTTTCAGGAGCTCTTGCAAGGCAGGCCTGGTGGTGACAAATTTCCTAAGCATTTGCTTGTCTGAAAAGGATCTGTTTCTCCTTCATGTATGAAGCTTAGCTTGGCTGGATATAAAATTCTGGGTTGGAAATATCTTTAAGAATAATGAATATTGTTCCCCAATCTCTGATGGCTTATAGGGCTTGGGTTTCCGCTGAGAGGTGTGGTGTTGGTCTGATGGGCTTCCCTTTATAAGTGACCTGGTCTTTCTCTCTGGCTGCCTTTAACTTTTTTTTTTCATTCTGACCTTGGAGAATCTGATGATTATGTGTCTTGGGGTTGATCTTATGGAGTACCTTACTGGGGTTCTCTGATTTCCTGAATTTGAATGTTGGCTTATCTTGCCAGGTTGGGGAGGTTCTTCTGTATGATATTCTGAAGTAATGTTTTTCAACTTGGTTCTATTCTCCCTGCCTTTTTCAGGTACCCCAATCAGTCATAGTTCGGTCTCTTTACATAATTTCATATTTCTCTGAGGTTTTGTTCATTCCTTTTCATTCTTTTTTTCTCTATTCTTGTCTGCCTGCCTTAATTCAGAAAGATAGTCTTCAAGCTCTGAGATTCTTTCCTCTGCTTAGTCTGTTCTGCTATTGATACTTGTGATTACATTATAAAGTTCTTGTGTTTTTCAGCTTCATCAGGTCAGTTGTTTTTTTTTTAATTGCCTATTCTGTCTATCAGCACCTGTATTGTTTTATCATGATTCTTAGCTTCTTTGCATTGGGTTACAACATGCTCCTTTAGCTCAGTTAAGTTTTTTATTACCTACTTTCTGAAGCCTTCTTCTGTCAGTTCAGCTATCTCAACGTCAGCCCACTTCTGTGCTCTTACTGGAGTGGTGTTGTGATCCTTTGGAGCAGGAGTGGCACTCTGGCTTTTTGAGTTTTCAGTGTTTTTGTTGATTCTTTCTTATCTTTGTGGTCTTATTTCCCTTCTGTCTTTGAGCTTGCTGACCTTTAAGTAGGATTTTTGTTGGGTTTTTATTATTGATGATGTCATTGTTGTTTTCTGTTTGTTTATTTTTCTTTTAACAGTCAGGCCACTCTACTGTAGTGCTGCTGTAGTTTGTTGTACTCCAGACCCTAATTGTCTTGGTTTTTCCCATACCTGGAAGTAGCATCTGTGAAGGCTATGAAACAGCAAATATGGCAGCCAACTCTTTCCTCTGGAAGCTTAGTCCCAGGAGAGTACTGACCTGTTGCCAGCCCACATGCATTTGTAGGACGTGGCTGGAAACCCTTTTGGGAGGTCTCAACCAGTCAGGTGGAATGGTATTACAGACCCACTCAAAGAAGCAGTCTGCTGCATTTTGGTAGAGCACATGTACTGCGTTAGGGGGGACTCTTTCTTGTCTGGATCATTTGTATTCTCCAAAGACAGCAGGCTAGAATGGCTAAGTCTACTGAACCACAGAGATGGCAGCCGCCCCAGTCCCTGGTAACTTGGAACTGCCTCAGACAGATTCCAGACTGCTTTGGTTGGCTGGCTGGTATTCCAAGCCAGTGGGCCTTAACTTGTGAGTTCCCATGGAAGTGGGACCCACAGAACAATGCTACTTGGCTCCTTGGATTCAGCTTCCTTTCTAGGGATATATACAGCTAGATATCCCCCCTTGCTGGGGATCCTGGGGCCAGAGTATGTAAAACCCCTGGGTCTCTGTGTGTGCCTGAGCAGCTGCTTTGCTCAGACACCACACAGTTCTGTGTTTTGGACCCAAGGCCCTGGTGGTGTGAACTCAAGAGGAGATCTCCTGATCTGTGAGTTGCAAAGAACCATGGGAGAAGAATGGTTTTCTGGGTAGGGTTGCACGATCACTCACCAGTTTTCTTGGCTGGGGATGGAGGTTCCTTTGGCTCCATGCCACTCTCAGGTTGGCTGTTGTTCCCCACCTTCTCTGGCTTTTCTACATTCTCATGGGTCAAGTTGTTTGCCTTGTCAGTCCCAATGTGAGAACCTGGGTATTTCAGTTGAAGGTCCTGAATTAACTTGCCCCTCTTCATTCCTCTCTGAGTGCCACGGAACACAGCTGCTTCTAATCAACCATCTTGGATCAACCTTGTTATTCCCTTTTTCACTGCTTGTTTCATTTCACTCACATCTATAAGCAAAAAAAAAAAAAAAAAAAAGAAAGAAACAAACACTTAAACAGCATAAAAAAGTGACTTTTGTAGGTTATTGTTTGGTAAAGGCTTTGATTTAAAAAAATCTCTCATGAGCTATAGCTCACATTTGGTCATTTTCTGTACTTCTCATTTGGGTGTTTAAGACTTAATGCCGAACTGAGGCATTTATAGAATAAATAAAATGCCGGACCTGTCTGGAAAAGCCAAGCTCAAAGCAGGAGTGTGCTGTGGTGGGAGTAGGCCAACTGTGAAATTTTAAGCTACCTTCATGTCCCTACTATACCATTGAGTAGCTATGCGAACTTGGACACTTTTTAAAACTTCACTTTCTTTAAGTGGAGTGAGGGTTGCTATGAGGCTTAAATGAGGTAATGCTTGTAAACTGCTTAACATTATGGTTGGTATACAATAAAGTTTAGCTGCTATTACCAGTTTTGTCTCTGAGGCTAGTTCCTAGATTTATGGTTATAGACCTGGAGAAGCATTTTAAAGTCCAGCATTCTTCCTTATTTTAGAGAGAGAAAATTGATGCCCAGAGTCACTGAAGGTTTCTGAGGCTTGGTTGTCACGTCTAGGTGCTTTACAGCTTGGCTATGCTTTGAAGATCATCCGAGCTAATAGGTAGAAATGCTATGAAGATCATCTGAGCTAACAGCTAATAGGTGTCACTTTTTTAGCGTTGTTCATACAGTGGCTAATTGTCTTGCCTGCTCAAGGACTGAATGATTTTATAAAATAGCATTCTGGTTCTGACAATAGAAAAAGCCATATATTTTCTGTTTTTTTTTTTTTTTTTTTTTAAATTTAGATGTATCCAGTTAAAACAGGCAATAGATGAAAATAAAAATGTTCTTCAAAAATTAAACAAAGTAAGTATTGTGGTTAATCACATTATTAAAACATCTCTTCTTATACAAGTATTTTTATTAAGTGGGAATTAATTCAAGTTGATAAGTTCCTGGTTTTGCATTAGCGATATAGTCTAACTGCAGCCAGTGCTGGCTTGCCCAACAGGCTTGCTAAGTCTGTGCATCAGAGCAAAAAATCTGGGTCTCCAACTACCGAAAAAGTTCAGCTTTTATGAACTCATCTGCTATTAAGGATTCAGACAATCCTGGAAGTAGCTATTTTTATTTTTGCATTTTGTGAGTTCTTTGTTTTACAGTTTAGAATTGTTTTTATTTAAATTTCCTTGTGGGGAAAGAATGCATAATCTGGCCCTGAGGGTAAGTGGCAAAGAAGCATCTTATATCAAATGGCAGTTCTGATATCATTGACTCTGCAGAAATGGGAGTAACAGGAATTTAACTTTGGCAATCCCTTCAGGATTTTTTTTTTTTTTTCACACGAGCCTTGATTACAGCTGGATATCCAGGTCCAGAGACCCATGGAGCCTTTAAAGTGGAGGGCACCTGAAAGTTAGCTCTCCAGTTGTGTATTACTCCCCTTTACTGCATCTGAGATATGTGGTCACTGAAGATCTCATCCAGATTTCTCCAGTGACAAAAAACTTTTCAACTTAGACTTTTGAAAAGTTTGAAAACCTAATTATAGGAATAATTAGGTGAGGAAGTGGAAGCTTTCAGTGATGAAGCAGCCATGCCTCTTCTGTCAATAAGTGGCAGAATTTGGATTTGTTGCCTGTCTTATTGACCATAAAGCCAATCTTCTGTCAGAACCTATCTCTGGCTGACTATGGAAGGTTTATAATACTTAGCAAGGAAATAAAAACCCAAAACAAGTGGTATAATTTTGTTTTTTTCATTTGGTTTGTATTCCAACACAATCATCTATGTTTCTTTTAAATCTAATTTATTTCCCAAAGATAGGTGTAATGTCACACTGATAATTACTTTGTTTTATAGCACTTATTGGGGTTTTTTGTTGTTCTTTTGAAATTAATAGGAAACTGAAATTAATTTTTCTGTAAAATGGACCTACATTCTCTCCTAGGCTGATGAAACTGCACCTGTTGCAAACTATAATCAGAGAAAAGAAGAGGAGCATAATCTTTTGGACAAGCTTACCCACCAACTACAGGGTCTTGCTGTGACAATAAGTAGAGGAAATATAACTGAGTATGCTTCCTTTCTACCTTTCTTTTTTCTTTTTTTATGATATGTAACCAATAGCTTTAATGTTTGACTCAAAGACGTGTAACGGTATAGATATAAACAAATGATACTAACAATAGAATCTGTCAACATTTATTTATTGTATATAATAGAAGTTGTTAGATCCCATGAGAGATGTAAAGAAGTATAAGTCATAGTCTCTGTCCTCAGGCAATTTATAATTTAGTTGAAGAAACAAAGATCTGAAAACCTAAATGAACAAATGTTAGATAGTAAAGATGATATCTTTAATGTCATTGTTGATGTGTAAAAGGAAAGTGATTTGGAATGTCTACTTGCATTGTTTCCCCTTCCATAAACATTCTTTAAAAATTTGAAGCAAAGACTGAGTGTGGTGGCTCATACCTGTAATCCCAGCACTTTGGAAGGCTGAGGCACAAGGATCACCTGAGGTCAGGAGTTCAAGACCAACTAGGCTATATAGTAGACCCTGTCTCTACGAAAAAACCCAAATTAGTCAGGCTTGGTGCCTATAGTCGTATAGTCCCAGCTACTTGGAAAGCTGAGGCAAGGAGGATTGCTTGAGCCCAGACGTTCCAGGCTGCAGTGAGCTATGATCACCTCAAGTACACTCCAGTGCAACAGAGTGAGACACTGTCTCTATTTAAAAAAAAAAAAAAAAAAAAAAAAGGCTGGGTGTAGTGGCTCATGCCTATAATCCCAGCATTTGGGAGGCTGAGGTGGGCAGATCACCAGAGGTCAGGAGTTCGAGACCAGCCTGGCCAACATGGTGAAACCCTGTCTCTAATACAAATACAAAAATTAGCTGGGTATGGTGGCGGGTGGCTATAATTCCACCTACTTGGGAGACTGAGGCAGGAGAATCGCTTGAGCCTGGAGGCTGAGGCTGCAATGAGCTGAGACTTTTCCACTGTATTCCACCCTGGGCAACAGAGTGAGACTCTGTATCAGAAGAGCAGAAAAAAAAAAAAAAAAAAGCAGGGACTTTTCTGCCAGAGTGAATGTTGATAATAGCTTTTGGAAGTTGTAAAGAAGACTTACATATACAAGTTGAGTATTCCTTATCTGAATTGCTTGGGATCAGAAGTATTTTTAATTTTGGATTGTTCTAGATTTTGGAATACTTGCATTATACTTACTGGTTGAGCATCCCTAATCTGAAAACCTACATTTTGAAAGACTCCAATGAGCATTTTTTTGATGTTATTTTGAAGCTCCAAAAGTTTCAAATTTGGGAGTATTTTGGATTTTGGATTTTTAAATTAGGGATACCCAACCTGTATGAACAAACCTAATTTGTGGGAAGCAAAATAAAAAATCAATTATTTAGACTCTTTCAATGTTGTTCCCCAATCTTTATTCTGTACCCTGGGAAAAAGTGCTGAAGGTGGTAGATGCAAGGATCTAGAATTTCCACCAATTCTTAGTACTGAGAATGGCAGAGTAGTTGGTATTGGACTTACCCCTTCCCATCATAAATGACTGCAAAGTCTGGAAAAATATACAAAGCATCTGTTTGAAGTCATTGAGCATCCACCAAGAAGGGTTGATATTCTTGATATAGGGAGATGCGTGAAGTGAATCCTACATTCACCTAAACTTTTTCCCTGGGAATAATTTATGGGCTGTGGTGGAGGAAGGTAGATTCCAAGCAGGGAGTAGCAGTCTTACTGGACTGAAGAGACAGATCACACTTTGGAGCTGCCCAGTTCACTGGGAGTTGTGGAGCAAGGTGCTACAGAGAGAAGGGAGCTGCAGAGAAACAACTCCAGCAACCTGAAAGGTCTTCTGGGTTGTATAGGGCATAATTCCTGCAAGGCCTGGCAGAAAGTGCCTGCTGGGAGACTGAGAGCTTAGTAGGTTCTGGAAATCATATAGTCTTGGAAAAACATTGGAGTTTGTACCTAACTATAGTAAAGAGACTTGGGAAATGCTTCAAGCATTTAATAGAGATCACAGAAGGCCCAGGCCCCACGAGTAAAGAAAACACCCTGAGAGTAACAACCATGATCTAGGAATAAAGACAAAGCTAAAGTAGGTCTTCTCTATCAGAGCCTAAAAGCAGACCTTATCAGGAACGAGATATTTTAACTGTGTAACGTTAAAAGAAGTTAACACTTCTTAAAGGAATATAACATAATCCAAACTCTGTAAGTGTGTCTTCTAATGTGTCCATCACAGCAACCAGTAATTTAAAAAAATTAGAAATGCAAAAAAGCAGGGAAAAATACATGATCAATAAGTGACAAGATGGTCAGTAAAAACAGACCCAGACATGATCCAGATACAGAGTTAGCTGACAAGGACTTCTAAATAATATGATAAATATGTTAAGGAAAATGGAAGAAAAGATGAATGAAATGGGGAAAAGAGTGTATTTTAAGAGAATTCAAATATATAAAAATCAAACATTCTATAACTAAAAAATATAATATTTGATAAACTAATGGCTGAGAACTTCCAAAATCTGACTCAATGTATAGACTAAAAAATCTGGGAAACATCATAAAATCAAGAGATTAAATAACCAGTAGCTCAGAGATGTGAAAATTAGCAAATAAGAACCATAAAACAACAACTTATAGGAAAAGATAGATAAATAAGTTATAGGAAAAGATAGATAAGATGAATAGAGAGGAATCTTAAGCAGAGAAATAGAAACTAACAAAGACCAAAATGAAAATTCTGGAACTAAAAAAATACAGTATATGAAATAAAATTATAGGGTGGCTCAACTGAAGATTAGATACAACAGAAGAAGGGATCAGTGAACCCAAAGACAGCTTTAAAACTTTTTCAAATTGATAACGTAAAAATTTAAAAGTCCAAGGAACAAAACAGAATGTAAGAGGTGAGACACTGTTAAAAGTTATAACAGATTTGTAATTGAAGTCTTGGAAGAAGAGGAGCGGGAATGAAGCACAAGAAATATTTAAAGAGGTAGTGACTAAAAACATTTTTAAATTACTATCTAAGAAAGATATCAATCCATTGATCCAAGAATCACAGGGAACCCCAAATAGAATTGTAAAGAAACCCACACACAGGTACATTAGAGTCAAACTACTGAAAACCAAAGATAAGTAGGAAATCTTAAGAGTTGCCAAGGGAAAAAAGGAAACATGTAGAGACAAACGACAAAATTACAGTTGACATCTTGTGAGAGGAAATACAGGTCAGAAGACAATGTAGTAGCATCTTGAAAACATTGAAAGAAGAAACCATCAACTCAAAATTCTGTATCTAGCAAAAGTATAAAAAATTAAAGTGAAATAAAGACACTTTCAGGCAAACGAAAGCTGAGGAAATTTGTCAGTTGACCTGCAGTATAAGAAATGTTAAAGGAAGTTCTTCAGGCTAGCAGGCAATGATCCCACATAGAAATTTGGATCTTCAAAAAGGATTGAAAAAGATGGGTATGTGGGTAAATATAAAAGCCTCTCTTTTTCTTTTCTACGTGCCTTTAACGGACACTCGATTATGTAAAGCAAAAGGTACATTTGGGGATTTATAATATCCAATTGATTACCATTATTTGCAGAAGTTATATTCTATAAAATTGCCATGAACACTAGATTAGCAAATATTAAACCATTGCTTCTGGGGAAATATAGACTTAAGACTCCTGTGAGCCTCTGGTCACAATGTTTTTGTCAACTGAGTGACATACAACCTTGTGTTACTGTTAAAAGACCCCTTATATCATATATTTTATTAATTCATTAATATTGAATTCACACCAACAGCACTATCACTCATGCATGAACAAGTCTTATCTAACACATGATTTTCTCCAGAGGTAGATTATAGCCTTCTTGTATTTAGGAATAGCACACGGCTCTTCAGTGCTATGTTTGGGGGCCATTTTAAACAACAAATCACCAAAAAAAAAAAAAAATGCAAAAAGCGTGGCACTAAATATACTGCAAAAAGGACACTTTCCTATATGAGAGCTGGAAAAAAAAAGGCAGGTGTCACCACGTTCAACTTCAGTTGGGAATGTGTATGCCAGACAACTCAAATTTTTTGCTGCTTTGTGTATGTCCACAAATGACCACAGAAGCACTGCAATGATTAATTAGGGAGTTACAAATAAACTTTAGTGAGCCAATGAATTCACAAATACAGAATCTGCACATTACAAGGACTGAGTATATGTAGAAGTAAAATGTGACAATAGTGTAGCATAGCACAAAGTCTGGCAGGTAAATGGAATTATGTATCTTAAAGTTATTTTATCTTTGGTGACATATGATATTAGACTATGATAAGTTAGGAATGCATATTGTAATACCTAAAACAATCACTAACAAAGTAATACAAAGAAATGTAGCTAGTAAAACACAATAAATGGAATATTAAAAGCGATTTTATTAACCCAAAAAAGGCAATAAAGAAGAAATTAAAAATAAGAAACAGATGAGACAAATAGAAACTAAATAGTAACATCGTTTCAAAGCAGCCATTTGGATAGTTACATTAAATGTAAATGGAGTAACACTCCAATTACAAGAAAGATTGTCAGACTGAATTTTTTAACCCAAATATATACTAGTTAGAAGAGATACACTTTAGTATACAATTATAGAGAGATTGAAAGCAAAGAACTGGAAAAAGATATTCCATGTTCTAAAACAAAGATATTCTTTGTTCTATAACCAAAACAAAGGTGATGTGGTTACAATAATATCAGCTTCTTAAAGCTAAAAGTAATTTACTGTTTAAGAAAGGACATTTCGATAAAAGAAAGGTTCGATTCAACAGGAAAAAAAAATTCCTAAATGTGTATACATTTAATAACATGGGTTCAAATGTATAAAGCAAAAGTTGCCAGAACTAAAGCAGAGCTAGATAATTCACAATTTTTAACCCCCTTGATCTAATTACACATAGTCAAGCCTTTCTTAATGACAGGGAGATGGTCTGAGAAATGTGTCATTAAATTATTTCATCATTGTACAAACATCGTAGAGTGTGCTTTC